TGAAATCTGCTGTGTCTATCAAAACTACCTTTATGTCTAAAGCTTTTTCCACAGGACTCACATTTGAAAGGCTTCTCACCTGTGTGAATTCTCATGTGAGAAGCCAGGATATGTTTGTTAGCAAGACTTTTGCCACAAAGAGTACAGGAGACCGTCTTCTCACATGTTTGAAATCTGATGTGTCTATCAAAACTACCTTTATGTCTAAAGCTTTTTCCACAGGACTCACATTTGAAAGGCTTCTCACCTGTGTGAATTCTGATGTGTTTCTCCAGAGAACATTTTTGGATAAAGCTTTTTCCACAGGACTCACATTTAAAACTTTTAGCTATGTGAGTTCTAAAGTGTCTATTAAGATAACCTTTATCGGTAAAGCTTTTTCCACAGGACTCACATTTGAAAGGCTTCTCACCTGTGTGAATTCTGATGTGTCTATCAAGATCACTTTTTTGGCTGAAGCCTTTTCCACAGGATGCACATTTAAATGGCTTCTCACCTGTGTGAATTCTGATGTGTTTATTAAGAGCACATTTTTGGATAAAGCATTTTCCACAGGACTCACATTTAAATGGCTTCTCACCTCTGTGAATTCTCATGTGAATGGTCAGGTTATGTTTGCTAGCAAAACTTTTGCCACAAAGAGTACAGCAGAGCGTCTTCTCAAATGTGTGAAATCTGATGTGTCTATCAAAAATACTTTTATGGGTAAAGCGTTTTCCAAAGGACTCACATTTAAAACTCTTAGCCATGTGAGTTCTGATGTGTTTATTAAGATAACCTTTATCGGTAAAGCTTTTTCCACAGGACTCACATTTGAAAGGCTTCTCACCTGTGTGAATTCTGATGTGATTATAAAGAGAGCGTTTTTCGGTAAAGCTTTTTCCACAGGACTCACATTTAAAAGGGTTCTCACCTGTGTGAATTCTAATGTGAATGGTCAGGCTATGTTTTCTAGCAAAACTTTTGCCACAAAGAGTACAGCAGAACGACTTCTCACCAGTGTGAATTCTGATGTGATTATTAAGATTTTCTTTTGTTGTAAAGCTTTTTCTACAGGACAAACATTCAAAAGGTTTCTCACCTGTGTGAGTTCTGATGTGTTTATTAAGATTTTCTTTTGTTGTAAAGCTTTTTCCACAGGACAAACATTCGAAAGGTTTTTCACCTGTGTGAGTTCTGATGTGTTTATCAAGATTTTCTTTTCTTGCAAAGCTTTTCCCACAGGACAAACATTCGAAAGGTTTTTCACCTGTGTGAGTTCTGATGTGTTGATCAAGATTTTCTTTTCTTGCAAAGCCTTTTCCACAGGACAAACATTCGAAAGGTTTTTCACCTGTGTGAGTTCTGATGTGTTTATCAAGATTTTCTTTTCTTGCAAAGCTTTTTCCACAGGACAAACATTCGAAAGGTTTTTCACCT